TGTGCGACTGAATCACAGCTCCCAACACATCACTGCTCTCGCATCACATCGCGAGCTATTTTGATACCAACATCCCTTTCGACACCTAATTTGGTATCAAAGGGTTGTTGGTATAAAAATACTAACAATATAATTAGGTTAATATGATTAACACAAACTTTGTGTCACAAAGCATTCGCACGATTAGTATTCATATTTATTGTGCATTCGTTGTATTCACAACACAATTATTGGCAATGGATATAGAAATGAATGTAAAAACAGAGAGTCAGTCAATCACACCGTCTGAACGAACTGATGATAATATGATGGACACGGATGTGGTCGTCGAGACTGAGACAAACACATCGGTTCCAACTGATCCCACGACAGATCCTACTAATGCTAATCATTATCTATTAATTTTCGTATTGGGATCAGAAAAATGGCTAAAACCAATATTGAAAATACTATTGCGATGTGTGATGGTGATTGCTGCACTAATCATATCACAGATAATTGTATTGACAATCATTAACATAAATAATGATTACCTTCATTGCTATGTGTTTGTTATATTATACAAATCCTATTTTCTATCAACTATACTGTCGGCTCAATTAACAATAAATGTTATCAATAACGATGTGTTCAATAAAACATTGATGTCTTTATCAATCATTGGCGCAGTTTTTGCTAATGAATGGATACTTATATGTTATATACTATGTAAGTATATGGTTAGACAAATAATTAACCATGTCATAATTAACCATCATAAATAACCCTTATAATTTATTAATGTTATAGATATCTTTGATGAAATAACGTTGCATGATTTACCTTCTTGGATATTGTGGCAAATATTCATTGAATTGATTACAATTCTTATATCGTTTGTAATGCAATGCACTCTATTTGTTGCCCGATTGTTATCAACAAGGTTACTAATTAATATATAATCATAGCGGTTATATTGTATACTTAAACTAATTCATTTGTAATTTAATTATGATTGTTAATCCTTTCATTGGAATTGATATGATTTCTAATATATAATCTAATTATTATTATATATTTATATTTATCATGACCTTTATAATTACAACTTAAAATTTCAATTAATTATAAAAATAATTGTTAAAAATGTTTTACTACTAAAATATATTTTTCAAGGTCCACCGATAGATTGGCTTTTCAGTCAATCACACCGTCTGAACGAATTGATGATAATGTGATGAACACGGATGCGGTGGTAGACACTGAGACAAAGACATCGGTTCCAACTGATTCCAGAGCAGATATTTTTAACGCTAATCATTATCTGTCAATTTTCGTATTGGGATCAGAGAAATGGCTAAAACCAATATTGATAATAATGTTGCGATGTGTGATGGTGGTTGCGGCACTAATCATACCACAGATTGTTCTATTAATTGTTAGAGGCATTCAACGTCATATAAGCCATGAAAGGGCCAATCCGTCTGTAATATTTCCAAACATTTTCACCGAGGATGGCATTATTATAGGTTATACGCTTGTATTATTCTACAAATACTTTTTTATATCAACTATACTGTCGGCTCAGTTGACAATAAATACTATCAATAACTCGGTGTCCGACAGGAAATCAATGTTTGTGTCAATTATTGCCGCAATTTTAGCTAATGATTGGATTATTGCATTTTATTTAACATGTAAGTTTATGGTATAATTATGTAATTGTAAAAAACCTTTATATTTTATCAATGTTAGATATCTATGATGATATGGAGTTTAAGAATAACCCCTCGTGGTTAATGTGGCAAATATATATTGAAACGATTGCAATTTTCATGTCGTTTGTAATGCAATGCACTCTATTTGTTGCCCGATTGTTATCTACTAAGTTATTAATTGTGATATAAATATTGCGATTATATTGTATACTTAAACCCAATTATTTGTGATATGATTATTATAAATAATTAATTATCTCTGCGTTGGAATTAATATGACTTCTAATTACTAAATATGTAACAAAATTATAATAATCTTTATAAATTAAACTGATCTATATAATTAAATGTCGTGATTTCAACTAATTGCAAATTATTTAAATTTTTACAATATATTTTACATATTGTTTAATAGGAATTCTGTGCGTTTTTATAAATACATTTAACATCACATCCTCACTACTGAATACATCCGCCAAAAACGACTGAACAAATAGTATATGTTTTAGCATTAAATTAATATTTTCTGATTAAAAGTGCCTCAAAATTTAGGCTTTTGATTGATTATATAAATGAATTGACAAATTATAAAGAGTTAGTGCAAAATGCAAGCCATTAAGTGTGTGGTAGTCGGCGACGGGTATGCATTTTAAACTAGATTCATCTAAATTATTAAGTACATTTAATTAATAAATTTTTATAATATGTAGAGCTGTGGGTAAAACATGTCTAGTGATAAGCTATATAACAAATGCCTTTCCCGGCGAATTCGTCCCAACAGTGTATGTATTGATTAAATTAAATATCACACGAATTTAATAGAAATAACTTTATTATTAAAAGTTGGGATAATTTTACGGCTAATGTTATGGTTGACAGAAAGTCCATAAATCTGGACCTTTGGGATACGGCTGGTCAGGAGGATCACGATCGACCGCGAATACTCTCATATCCACAAACGGTACATTCAATTTTACCAATAAATATTTACATTAATTAATCATATAAAATATAATTAATGTAATTAATAATTACATTATTATAAAGTAAATATACAAAAATTATGTAAAACAAAACATACAAACATAAATATAACTTATACAAAATGAAATGATTGCAAACAAAACACTAAATGATTGCCTTTTATTACTTTGAAAGGATGTGTTACTAATCTGTTTCTCTCTCGTAAATCCGGACTCATTTGAAAACGTCAAATCAAAGGTAAGCCAATCCGTGCCCATTGTGTTAATGCCTTAAACTATATGAAACTCGTGTCTATTACTGGATCAGTGGTACCCAGAGGTGAGCCATCACTGCCCGCAGACACCCATCGTATTAGTGGGAACTAAACTGGATCTGAGAGACGACCCGAATATTAAGTACAAACTCAAGATCCGAAACCTGCGGCCCGTGTCGTACGCACAGGGAATGTCAATGGCTAAGGATATCGGCGCCACTAAATACCAGGAGTGTTCGGCTCTCACTAAAAAGGGTCTCAAGAATGTGTTCGATGTGGCCATCCGTGCCGTCCTCTGCCCCGAGAGGCCACACAAATGCACTCTTATTTGAGTGACAATTATTGTGTAGTTTTAATGTGATTTTTACTGATTATTTTAATTATTTAGCTAATCATTGGTCAAATTAAATTTACCAACAATTAGTATTGTTGTAAACCTATGGAAATACGCTTATTCTTAAAATATCACTTCAAAATTGGTATTTATTAAAATTAATTAATTAGATAATTTAATAAACTTAAATTTATTAATGATTAAATATAAAACAATTTTAATGTATGCTAAATATGCTAATAAAAACATACATTAATAAAAATAAGTTGTATTATGTATTAATAATTAGTGTAATAGACAGAAAAGTATGAAATTATGATAATAACTTATTAAGTATTATGATTAAAATTATTATGATTAAAATAAAATCAACAATTCATATAACGGATTAGAATTACTAAAACAATTAGTTATATGAGCAAAATTATTTAGAAATTAAATCATTTATTATATTATTCATCGCATGGTTAAAATATTTCAAACTACTTATAAGTTTTAATATAATCACATGAATGCCATAAATATAACCATTCGTACAACTGGTAGTCATTGTGTATTCGTTTAATTCACTAAATTATTGCAATGGATATAGAAATGAATGTGAAAACAGAGAGTCAGTCAATCACACCGTCTGAACGAACTGATGATAATGTGATGGACACGGATGTGGTGGTAGACACTGAGACAAACACATCGGTTCCAACTGATCCCACGGCATATATTTCTCGTGCAATTTATTATTTATCAATTTTCGTATTGGGATCAGTGAAATGGCTAAAACCAATGTTGATACTAATATTGCGATGTGTGATGGTAATTTCGGCACTAATAATATTGCAGATAATTGTACTTACAGTCATTCACAGCAATTATGGCATTATTAAAAGCTCTATATTTGTAATATTCTGCAAATGCTTTTTTACATTGACTATACTGTCGGCTCAGTTCACAATAAATGTTATCAATAACTCGGTGTCCGACAAGAAATCAATGTCTTTATCAATCATTGTCGCAGTTTTTGCTAACGATTGGATTATTATATTTTATTTAATATGTAAGTTTATGGTATAATTGTTATGATAAATGTTAATATAAATAATCTTTATATTTTATCAATGTTAGATATCTATGATGAAATAACGTATAATGAGTTCCCCTCTTGGATAATGTGGCAAATATTCATTGAATCGATTGCAATCATTATATCGTTTTTAATACAATGCACTTTATTTGTGGCCCGATTGTTATCAATTAATAACCTAGTTGATCTCGATCAACTATTTGATTAATTGAGATAAAAATATATATGCTATATTGTATACTTGTGGATTATTTGTGATTAAATTATAACTATTATGAATAATTAATTATCGTTACGTTGGAATTGATTTGACTTTTAATTACTAATGAATACATTATGTTAATAACTATTATGATTAAAATAAAATCAACAATTTATATCCTAATTTAAAACGGATTAGAATTACTATAACAATATATGAGTATTATTATTTATAATACATAAATATCAAGGTAAAAATAATGTTTTATGACAATTTCACTACTCAAACAACCAGACTTAGGAGTTGAATCAGCTTAGTTATCACAATATTCATATTACCATCATGGTTACTAACAAATAAATGAACAAATATCATTAAATGATTAATTGATAGCAATTAAAATAATATGACGATATATTGAAACTATATTTTCTATCATTTCAAACAAAATACAGTATATATCAAATACTGATTAATACTCTCCGTCAGAAAGTGAACACAATATGTATAAAACAAAACTGTCCGTATCGGCGATCCGCTTTTTGGCACCGGCTATACATTGGTCTCCCGTTTACAACACCACCAGTAATATCAACACATTGACTGCAATCACACGGACAGCACCGGCACAACCACTCACATCCGACGGCTCAAACAATATACAGTATGTGGACATCGAAATGGCGGTCATTGTTAATAATAGTGACCACTTAGTTGGTATTTATATGCCAATAAGGTTACCAACACAGATAAATGTTTTTTAATTGTTTTTTGTATTAGGTAATGTTGTCAATGAATGTGTAGACAACGTTCAAATAAACATCGATAGCACGTCCGCCATACCGACTGAGCGGGAGTGTGACCACGTGTCCATTTCGATACCATCACCAAACCAGACAACAGACCGCACCCGGCAGTGTATCGACTGGAAACTAGTAGCCATATTGGTCACAGTGCTAGTAGTAGCCAACAGTCTAATGTTCTTTCTACTATTGCCCCAAAAACAGAATATAATTGAGTACACAAACCAAAAATGGCATTCATCAAACCATCATCACGGCAACTACTTTTATATTAGCCCATTCGAAATTATATAAAATTTTAACACTAACATTAAACAGATTGAAATACAATAATATTAAGATTAATACATCTATGTTGCATTGACTTTTGTCATATAAAAATGTAATAGGTGGAAATGATGGAAATGTGTTTGTTATCTACATTAAACACTTTTCCGGGTATTGTGTTAATAATATTTGTAATTAGTATTAATATAAATAATAATGCTATTTTGTTCAATAAAAACAATAGATTTATAGATATATCAATTATATAACTTATTTATTAATGTGTTGTAAATTACAACTTGTAATAAATAAAATTAATACAATAATGACTATAAGTATCACATAATTAATACAACTATTCCTAGTAAAACATTTATTTTATTAATAATTATAAACACTAGTCATTAACTCAATTCGTATTTAGATCTCAAGTAATTTAATGGATGTGAAAACAAATAGACATTACACTAAAGAAACTAATGATAATGTGATGGACACGGATGTGATATCAGTGACTGATGGTAGATTATCGGTTCCAGTTGGCAACACTTTGCCTGATCACCATGATCAAATGGGTCATCAATACAACTGGTGGTTTGGGTCCAATGGTTTTCTACCACGTGTTCTCAAAATAATAATGAAAGTAGCAATGATTATAGGTATACTAATTCTAGTGGAGCTAATTATTACCATGTTTATTAGCGTTGATTACACCAAAAATAAATTAATGGATCAGTATGGTAAATTAATTCATCAATTAAGCCTTATATTTCCGACCCTATTGTCGGCTCAGTTGACATTATGTACTGTTGATTACTGGGTGTCCGACAAGACATCAATGTTTGTATCAATCATTGGCACCGGTTTTGCTGTTAATCAATGGATTGTTGCCTTGTATTCAATATGTAAGCACTGACTGGAATTTTTAAGCATGGTAATATATTGTATAATTTATAATATTTCTAGATAATAGTAAAACCGGAATCGTAGCAATATTGTCCATGGTCACTTATGGCTTTGAATGGCTTTTAATGATTCTAGCATTGATAATACAAAGTAATTTGGTTGTTGCACTTTGCCTGTCGTGGGGCAGCCAATGGTTGGCTTCAAAAATTAAATAAGAATAATTATTAACTACTATTGAAATAAATAAAAGTTTTAATGATTTGTTTAATGCTAAATTAAATTTTATGTATTTACATTAATTTAAAACAACAGATTGTATAATGATTTATAAATTCATAAAATTGCAAAAACAATATATAAAGTAATTATTCATAAAATAAACTACATGCCTAATTGTTTCCAACCATATTCATCTCACAGGCATTTATAAAAACAAACATTTATTTAATATTTACTGAATTAATCATTGATTTGTTATTTTTATTACTAATATTACTTATCATCATTCTATTTTACATTTAATATAGAAATAAAATTAGAAAACAGCGTTACAATAGGTATTAGCATACAATAGGGGGTGGGAGGGTAGTGACAACTATAGACAGGATGGGGTGAATGCATAGAGAAAACACATAGAGGGGAATAGAATGATGAAATGGGTAACAGACTTAATGGCTGGTGGCTAGTTGAATATATATTAAAACAATTTTCAATTGATATTTCATAAACTTAAATAATATGAAATCAAAACATTTAATTGACTGTACATCGAGCCTAATAGTCTATGAATAAAATCTTCAAAATTGATCATTGACAATAACATGGATGTAGTAATAAACCCTCAACAACCATCAGGTCCATCTGATCCGGTGCAAGATGATCATGTTTATAATTACTACATTAATATAATCATAAGATTATATAAATGGCTTAAGCGTACATTCATAACGTTGTTGAATGAATTGCTTAATGATCATGATACAATTATGAACTCAAATTCATGGTTTAATAATAAATTAAAATTTCTAACAAGATTATATTTTATTGTCGCTATAATAATACTATTTGAGCTGATCGTGGTCATACCTATACAATTCCAGTATTACCCCGATTACACTTTGAGTTATTACATTAAGATAACTATAATCTTATCGCTTATTATTCCGACCCTAATGTCCGCTGAGTTCACAATTTATCTGATCGATCACTGGGTGTCCGACAAGACATTGATCATGATATCAAGTATTGGCACTGTTTTTGTTATTTACCAATGGATCGCATTTATGTGTTTAATAAGTAAGTTATTTTTATAAATATTTAGCAATGAACATTTAATGTTGTTTTGATATATTGTTTAGGTAACTTGAAAATAAATACTGGAAATGATTTTGGTCCTTTTATGTTGAAATTTATGTCGTTTTGTTGTGTTGAATTGATGATGATTATTGTAGCAGGGACGATGCAAATATATTTATTAATTGCTCATTGGCGTAGTCATGTAAATTAATCATTAAAAATAATTATAACTATGCTCTACAGTTATTTATAAAACTTAAATAATTATCTTGTTATATTTTAGTGTAACAGATTTAATAATATTAATTAGTATAGCATTAATAATACAATGTAATTTGTCTATCGTGTGAAAAATGCCTTACATTAAAATACGAATATCAGGTAAATTAAAAGTACATAATAATAATCATAGTGTCTAAAAGATTGAAAAAAGATTGAATTCCCAATGTATTGTCTATGGGAGCATACGGGCAAAGCCTACCATTTTTAGACATCTAGATAATAATTATGTTATTTTTATTAATTATTTATTAAATATCATTTTATTAATAA